CTTGCTATTGTGTCAATGAGATCTTTTCATCTTGATGTATACAAATATCTTCTATTATAAAAAGATATTAGATTTTGGCTTAGTTTTAAAGTTTGCTCATTTGCATTTACTTGGAAGACAGAGCAAGACAGAGTGACACAGATGTCTTCTATCTGTTGGCTCACTCCCGAAGTGCCCACATTAGCTGGGGCTGGGCCAGGTGGAAGCCAGGAGCCAGTAACTCCATCTGGGTTACCCCAATGGGTATCTGGTACTTGAACACTTGATCCATCATCTGCTGCTTCCTAGGTACATCAGGTAGAAGCTGGATCAGAAGTGGAGGAGACTTGGTCCCAGGAACTCTGTCCAATACGGGATGTAGGCATCCAAGCAGTGGCTTAACCTTCTATGCCACAACACCTGTCCCAGATTTTGGTTTAGTTTCAAAAGTAATATATGGGGGCCGTGCTGTGGCACAATGGGTTAAAACCCAGGCCTAAAGCACCGGCATCTCATATGGGCGCCGGTTCGAGACCTGGCTGCTCCACTTCCTATCCAGCTCTCTGCTATGGCCTGGGAAGGCAGTAGAAGATGGCCAGGTCCTTGGACTCCTGCACCCACATGGGAGACCTGGAAGAAGCTCCTGGTTCCTGGCTTCAGATGGGTGCAGCTTTGGCCATTGTGGCCAACTGGGGAGTGAACCATCGGATGGAAGATCTCTCTCTTTCTCTCACCCTCTCCCTCTCCTTCTCTCTCTGTGTAACTCTTTCAAATAAATAAATAAATCTTAAAAACAAACAAAAGTATTATATGACATTATAAAAATTTGAAAGGATACACAGAGGCCAGCGTTGTGGCCTAGGGGCAAAGCTGCCATTTGTAACGCTGGCATTCCAAATGGGCTCATGTTCGAGTCCCTGCTCCTCCATTTCTGATCCAGCTTCTTGTTAATGCACCTGGGAAAGCAGCAGAGGATGGCTCAAGTCCTTGGGCCCCTGCACCCCCATGGGAAACCCAGAAGAAGCTCCTGGTTCTGGATTGGCACAGTTCTAGCTGTTGTGGCCAGTTGGGGAGATGGGGAGACCTGTCTCTCCCTCTCCCTCTCCTTCTCCCTCTCCCTCTCCCTCTCCCTCTCTCTCTCTCTCTGTCTCTCTCTGCCTCTCCCTCTCTCTCTCCCTCTCCTTCTCTCTCTGTGTAACTCTGACTTTCAAATACATAAATAAATCTTTAGAGAGAGGTCTTCCCATCTGCTGATTCACTCCCCAGTTGGCTACAACAGCTGGAACTGTGCTGATCCAAAGCCAGGAACCAGGAGCTTCTCCTGGGTCTCCCATGGGGGTGCAGGGAACCAAGCACTTGGGCCATCGTCGACTGCTTTCCCAGGCCATAGCAGAGAGCTGGATCGGAAGTAGAGCAGCTGGGTCTTGGACCAGCACTCATATGGGATGCCAGCACTGCAAGGTGGTGGCTTTACCTGCTATGCCACAGTGCTGGCCCCTAAATAAATCTTAAAAAGAGATATACAATGAAAAATAAATTTTTCTTTCATCCTTGTTATGAGAGTGTTTTAAGAAAGTTAGCCAAAGCTTTAGTAGAAAAACACTCAGAAAAGCTTCATCAGAGTCCTTCTGCACTATGATGGTGTTCCTGTTCAATCTGCTTATCCAACAGGAGCCCTTTTTGAGAATTTCCATGGGAAATCATTTGGCACCCACCTTACAGTCCTTTCTGACTTGATGTTTCTTAATCTTTTTTTTAAAAAGATTTATTTACTTGAAAGATTTAGAGAGAGGAAGAGATAAGGAGAGAGAAATCTTCCATCTGCAAGTTTACTCCCCAAATGGCTGAAGCCAGGAGCCGGGAGCTTCTTCCTGATCTCCCATGTGGGTGCAGGGGCCCAAGCACTTGGGCCATGCTCTGCTGGATCTGAAGTGGAGCACCTGGAATTTGAACCTGTGCCCATATGAGATGCCGGTATTGCAGGTGGCGGCTTTACCTGCTATGCCACAGCAGTGGCCCCTTGTTTCTTAATCTTAAAAAAGATCTTTCAAGGACACTCATTTTTTCTTCACTTAGCAATGTGAGAAAGATGGTGTGGATGTGATGAAACTCCCAGGACCCTCAGGTCTTTAGGGATGGACTAAAAGGCAGGTGTCAATACTCACAGATATGCATTGACCTGGATGGAGCTTATGTTGAGAAATCAAGCTTCTATTTTTCTGTTCTGTTTTCCATGATGGTTTTTGAAGATTCCTCCTGAGGAAGGGTATCCGTTTCCCTCTAGAAAAGGCAAAAGACTCTTTTAACACTGTCTGCTGCAAGACAGGTGGCTCCCCTGGAACTGAACTGCGTTTTCAGTAGCTGTGGTACGAAGTTGTTTGAAGGGGACCAGATATGTATTCTGTCAGGCTGAGGGGAGCAGCCTGGGGCTGTCTTAAGTCCCACCCCAGAGGACTTTCTTGGTTGGGACTGTATGATCCCAGCAGAGTGAGTCAGTGGGCCTCAGGGAGAGGCAGTACACCTCTGTCAGGGGAACCATGGCTACTAGGCCCCACTGGGAGAAGCTCCAGGGATGAAAACGAAAAGGAAACCAAAACCTGCAACAGCTTGTTTTAAAACAACCACCCAGCAGCTCTGCCTCTGTCACCCGCAGTGAGAATGAGGCTCAGTGACTTTGGCACCAGCCACAGAACAGTCTGCTCTCCTCTCCAGTCCTCTGCCCTTGCTCCGAGGTCATGGTAGGGTCAGAAGCCTTATCCAGCAAGTGACTGGGGGAAGGGCAGCCACCCTTGTGCTACCTACCACACCTCTCCCCAAGAACACTGACCTGCAGCCATTGCTGCCTAGGATAGGCCTGGGCAGAAAAGGAAGGGAGAAGGTTTATGTGGGACTAGACTGTGGTTGCCATTGTTATGCTGGGTGCACTGTGACAATCCTGAAAAGAGTTTTTTCTTGTAACTGAATGTGATTGGGAGACTTTTAAATTCTCCAAGCATGGCTGGGATAATTATAAGACCTGTCTACTGTGTCATCCTGGAACAGGGAAAGAACAAATTCACAGAGTGTAAGTGTGACTGGTGGAAAGGAATGAGCTTCTTTTTTCTTGTACTCTATTCCAAGTGGTTCCGGCTCTCCCTTCCCCTCCCTCCCACCATTACATGTACATATGACTTTAGAAAAATTATTTCTTTTTTTTTTTTTTAAAGGCAAAGAGAGAGAGAGAGAGAGAGAGAGAGAATGAATCTCCCATCTAATTCACTGGGTCATTCCCGAAATGTGAATAACAGTCAGGAAGCCAGGAGCCTGAAACTCAAGCTGAGTCTTACACGTGAGTGGCAGGAACTTGAGCCATCACCTGCTGCTTCCCTGTGTGAGCATTAGCAATAGCTGGAATCAGAAGTGGAGCTGGGATTTGAGCCCTGGTACTCCAATATGGGATGCAGGGGTTCCAAGTGGTGTCTTAATCATTGTGTCAAATGTCAACCCTCCATATATTACTCAAACAACAAAAAAACCTATGCAAGTCAGAGCCTTACTCATTGTTCTGAAATAATAAATCTTAGAGTTGTTTCTTTACTAGAGCACATAAATGAGTATGTATCTATTTTAAAGTGTGTTATATTCCATTGTATACAAAAAACATTTACTTAGAAAATTCTGTATTGATAAATAATTAGTATTTTTTCCAATTATTGTTTTCCCATACACGTTCAGATTTGTACTTGCATATGAGAGTGTATGTGTGGAATAAATTTCTAGAAGTAAGAATGCTAAACTAATAGGTATGTAAAATTTAAATTTACAAGCATCCAAATTGCTCCACTTGATATTCTTGTGACCATGAAGACACTGTGCTGTCATATTTTAATCTGTGTCAGTATGAGAGGTTAAAAGGAATAGCACCTTCACAGTTCACAAGTTACAAATGAGATTGAGCTGTTTTTTTTCATGCTTCTAAAGCATCTGTATTTCTTTTTCTATAAACTTCCTATTTATGTCTTCCTAGATTTATTTTAAAAAATATCTGCTGGCTCTGTTTTTTTTTTTTTTTTCTTTTTTCTTGACAGGCAGAGTGGACAGTGAGAGAGAGAGACAGAGAGAAAGGTCTTCCTTTTGCCGTTGGTTCACCCTCCAATGGCCGCCGTGGCCGGTGCGCTGCAGCTGGCGCACCGCGCTGATCTGAAGGCAGGAGCCAGGTGCTTCTCCTGGTCTCCCATGTGGGTGCAGGGCCCAAGCACTTGAGCCATCCTCCACTGCACTCCCTGGCCACAGCAGAGAGCTGGACTGGAAGAGGGGCAACTGGGACAGAATCCGGCACCCCAACCAGGACTAGAACCTGGTGTGCCGGTGCTGCAAGGCGGAGGATTAGCCTAGTGAGCCGCAGCGCCGGCAAGGCTCTATTTTTTGAGTAGGAAGTCAGCAGATGAGCCTATGAGGGAGGGTGGAACTGTTGTCAGCACCAGCACATGAGAATAAGGCCAGAACGAATTGTCTTGCTTAGATTTTTGACCTGCTTTCTTTCTTTCCTTCCCTTCTTTGGGTTTCTGTCTGTGTCTGGATTTGAAACTGCCTAAGGCAAAGATTAGTCTTTTCTCCTCCTGATAACATGCATCATCAGCAATCTGGGCACATGTTACGTAGAACCATGTAGGTAACTGGTTCTCAGCTAGGAAGGGCAAAGGCACCATGCTGGTTATCGTCTGGGGGCCTCCTGCTCTCCAGTTGCTGGTTGGGTGCAGCCAATGAGGAGCCTCTAGGAAAGGGGAGGATGGGAGGAGAATGGAGCAAGTGGATTTATTCCTCCCTCTCTTTGGGATCAGTCCAAGATGCTTTGTCCCGTGACCAGAGATCTTATTTCTTGGCAGACACCTTCTGAACTCTGCCTTTCTATCTTAAGGTCCCCTTAGCCCTGCAGGTCTCAGAGTGATTGGAAGCCATTTATGACTTTGGTATGCTGCCATACCCTTTGTGAGTTCTCAGTTCCTTGCCCACAGTGCTAGAGTTTGTGTATGATTTTTCTCCACCAAAATTCATATGGAGGCTTGGTCCCTAATGTAACTGTGTTGAGAAGTGGAGGGGACATTAAGAGGCATTTTAGGTCCCAGAGATCTGCCCTCATGAAGAGATGAACTCAGTTACCTTGAGAGTGGATTAGTTATCAGGAGAGCAAGTTGTGCTTCTTTAGCTCTTCTGGCTTTTGGTCTTGCACACGTACTCCTTCCCCATGTGCCTACTTGCTCTTCTGCTTTTCTGCTATGCAGGGAACAGCATGAGGCCCTCACCAGAAGCTGAACAGATGCCAGCACCATGCTCTTGGACTACCAAAACTGTGAGTCAAAATAATCTTTTCTTCATAAATTACCGAGCCTCTAGTATTTTGTTATAGAAACAGAAAACAGACCAAGACACATACCTTTGTAAATAGCCTCTTTAATAAATTCTTCTCAAGTTATCCCAGATTGTGCGTGCCATCTTAGTACTCTGGACTGGGACAGGCACCTTAGGACCAGTGGGCCCTAAACAGGAATAAAAGTGATTTATGCAGAACCATGGCTGGTGTTAGAGCCCTTTAGCCAAGCTCAGGAGGGCTATACAGAGGGCAACAGGGGGCTAGTCAGCCCCACACTGTCTCTCAGAGCAGGGAGCTCAGAGTTGTATTTGGATAACATTGGCATTTAGGACCAGGTGGAAGAAGGTGATGGCATCTGGGCTGTGAGGTGGCATCTGGCATTGATGCTCCTACATCTGCTTTGCCCCTAGTGACCGGTGGAGCTGAGAAGGTTGTATAGGATGGAGCTCTGGGCCAGCAGGATTGGCCCAGGGCTGGAGGGAATCAGTGACAGCCACTGCAGAATGCTCCTTTCCTTTGTGGGACTTGGGCAAAGCTGGCTTTGGTGGGGATCCCAGGAGTTAGGCTGGTGAGGTCTTAAGGAGAAATGTGTGCATTTTTAGGAAATGGGGCATGGATTGGAATGTATTAAGGGAATACTATTCTTAAGCAAAGAAAATTGAACATAAGTTAATTATTTGCACATTAACTATCAGAAGCTACTAAGTTAGAGCTATCTAATGTTGTACCCAATAGCCACACATTGTGTTTTGTTAGTTGATTTTATGTTTACATTTTATAATTGTGGGTCTCCTATTTTCTTGTCTGCTTTTGGACTGCTAAACCAAAGAGTTAAGCTTGTTACTACAGGTATAAAATAAGATTAATAAATCCTGAATGAGGGACTAAAGACTAATACCATTAGCAGAATGCATTAACTTGAACACCATTGTGTTGGTTGTAGAAGCTCTTTGTACTTGTATTTTCTGCTTTGGTTTTCATATATTCTGGATAGGTGAGTTGCAACATACACTGGGTCTAAGTTGGGGATTTGTCCTCTCTGCTCTTGGAGGGGATCAACAAAGGTGGGTCATGAGAAAGTAAAATGACTGGCGGAATGGGAAGAGAAAGAGAAAAACTCAAATGCAGCTTCTGGCTTCACTGATTGTGTGTATAGGGTCTAGGATGTGATTGAATGTTACGGCCAAGGGGCAGTGCAGCCACCAGACTTTGAGATGCTGTAGGCATATGACCCTGGGTATCCTGAACTCTTCATTTTGGGTGCCCTTCTTGGTTCCTGGAACATTCATCTCTGTGTTATTCCCCCAACCCCCCAGAATGTTTCAACCTTTGCCTTGACCTTGGTTTCTAAACCAAGTCTTCTTTTTCTGAATCATTTATATATCCTGGTTCTTACATTCCTGGTTCATTGTGACTCCAGCCTCCATGCTAATGTTGCAAACCAAACACTGCTTTTCTCTGATGTCTTGACATTTGCTGAAACTTTGTGGGTTCAAGCATTTCCTGGGCTGGGGTGAAATCACATGGGACATCTACCTGAGCAGGTCAGTATGTTCCATGGGAGGTTTGAGTTGTGAAGCTCTATCCAGAAAAGTTTAAGAAATGTGGGGCTTAATGAAAAAAAAAATGAGTGATGCCACACTAGCAAGCACCCATTTATGGCCTTGAACCTGGATTCCCAATACATGGGCAGTGGAACTTTGGTACCATCCTCCTTTATTCTGAGAAGCAAACATAGATCTCTGTGAGAAACGCATTATGTCCTGGAGCAGGTGCAGCCATGGGCCAGGAGACTTCAAGTTTCAGGGCCAGGTCAAGTCTAGAGGATGAAAGAGCAGGATATTCCTTGGAGAACTCCTTGTCATGTCTCTATTCTTATCAGTAATGCAAATTGGCTCTCTTAGAATTTTAAGGACCAAGTAGGATGAAGTGCTAGGTAGTAGGAAGCAGAACTACAGGCTCTAAAAGGACTTTTGAATTTGAATTTTATTGTCTATAAAAGGAAATGGTGTCCCTCCATTGTTTACTTGCTGGTTCCTTTTTAGTCATTTACTCTTCAGTGAGCAAATATTGTCCTGTGGACCAATTCAGGGTCTTCCCTGAATTGTGGGAGTCCTACAAGCAGATGTATTAACTCTTCCAGCCAAGGACTTGGCTCAGAGTCACAACATTGCTTTCAAGGCCCAGGTTAAGAGGGAGCCCCTGTGATCATTTACTGCTAGATAATTTCAAACATAGTGTAGACCCATGCTGTCCAGTTGAACTTTATACAATGATGAGACATTTCTCTGTCTTCTACCAAAAGAGGTTTATCCTGATACACCTTCATCTGGGGACTATATGTGGGTGTTTGCTAGTGTAGGATCCCCCATTTCACATCAAAGTTCACTTTCCTTGGGTACATCTTCATAGTCAGCCATCCTCTATCCAGCTGGCTGTGAAATTAGTGGCCTGGTCCAGCTGCATGTGAGGACGCTGCTCATTCCTGACCCTGCTGGTCACATCCCACATCCTGAACCATTTTGCCCAGCTCTACTTGTTCACTTCTTGTCCAGTCTCCAGTGCCCCTCAGTTCCCAACCTGGCTCCCTGAGCAGGGCCCGGGGGAAGTTGTAGTTTATCATGTTTGTCATGGTCCAGAGGTGGTTCGTGTATTGGAAGCATGGTGTCCAGTTTGGCTCTGTTGAGGTGGTGAAGCCTATAAGAGGTGGTGCCTAGTGAGAGGTCATTAGAGGGCATTGTCATCAGAAGGGATTAAGTAGTTCTTGTGGGTTTCCAATTAGTTTTTGTGATAAGTAATTAAAAGAGCAGACCTGGCCCTTCTCCTCCCTCTGGCTTCCTGTATCACCGTGTGATCTCTCTCTCCTGCACATGCTCTCATCATGTGATGACATCCTCATGAGGCCTCTTATGAAAGCCCAGGTAGATGCTGGCTTCATGCTCTGAACCTCCAGAACTGTGAGCTAAATAAACTTTTTTTTTTCATGAATTACTCGGCCTAATATATTTTGTTGTATTGACAGAACGGAACTGCTAAAATGTGTGAAAGAGCAGCATTAAACAGGCAAGTCTCTGAGGAGCTGCCATGTGCCCTGAGGTGCATTGGCTGATTTACCAGACTCTTCTGGCCTTGACCTTGGCTTTCATTAAATAGAATTAATAGTTGAGATAACAACAATAATATGAATGGAAACAACCATGCCTGCCCTCTTGCTAGAAGAGTACAAAGAGATAATACATATAAAATTGCTTTTAAATTTAAAATGCTATACACTTTAAATCTATATGTCTTTAAATTTATACACATTTTAAATTTAAGGTGCTATGCAAAGTCAAGTGTCATAGCTATCAAATCCTGCTTTCATCTGGGGCAGTCCAGCAATAAGTGTTATTCGTTATATTCATCCCTTCCTGTTTTTATTTTCTCTTCCTTTTTGCTTCCAGGCCAAGTAAAGTGTAGCTGATCAAAACATGCCTATGTTCAATGAACTTCCTTCTCATGGCTTTTCTGTTGTCATCTTTTGTCTGAGTCAGATTCAGAAAAAGTCTGTTATCTGGTTGCTTTGAAGAAACCACTTTAAAATTACTTGATAGCATAAAAAAAATCAAGGCTCTGAAAACTCACCAAATTTCATGCATCCTGTTGGCCATTTCCTTAAATGACACATAAGGGAGGTTATGAATCTGTTGATAGGAATGGTTGCAAAAGACGTATCCATTGGCATTGGGTAAGTGGTAAGTCCAGGACCAGGGGTGCTCAAGGTGATTTTAAATGTCACTCAGGGCTCCAACCAAGACATTTTAGGAGGAGAATCTTATAGAAGTTTTTCATACTGATTGTCACCAAAAATGCTCTTTAAAAGCCAGAAAACTTTTGTTCTTTATATTTTATAGCAGAGAGCAAAATTATTTTAGGTGGATAGACACTGAGGGTGTGGAACACAAAGACAATTCTCCATAACCCATTTATCCTGCTGACCTTACAAGTGTTGAGTGACAGTTACAAATGAAAGCCCTCTTAGGCATTTTATTTTTCCTGTTTTAAAAGAGGAAATGCATTTCTGGGAATATTTACACAATAATAACGTTGTGTTCAACTTCAGATGACAGATCCCCAGGTTGATTAAAATATTTAAAAATGTAAATTGGATTTGAAAGTTCTCTTTAAATATTTTTGTTTCATTTTGACATTCAAGAGGACAGAAGTGGAGTAAGAAGGAAGAAAGAATCCTGGTTCACAGGTTAGGGCCCCAGAGGCCTGTCTGTCCATGGTTGGTCTTTGCTTTATGTGCCATAAATTCAAAGAAAGTCTCTTAAAAACAAAACTCATGGGAGACTTATGCATATGGATACTGCATACCCTGGCAGGAGGGGGCACTGTGGAGGTCATCACTCCACAGGAGACTGTGGACAAGAAGGCTGGGCAGAAGGCACAGTCAGTTTCCCAAGGCTGTGTCTACTCTTCCCTGGTCCAACCATGGCTTCCTCCGGCCAGAAGTCTATAGCTGGGTCACCTGAAATGTGTGCCTCTTTTACTTTATCTTAAACTTCTGCTGCCAGCACTGGCTGTGTTTCCTATTGGAATCTTCCCCTCTGTGCCCATGCCAAGGATTCCAGGTAAACAGCAGCCAGATGTTTCCTGAGGTACATACATACAAGGGGTCTTCAAAAAGTTTGTGGAAAATGCAAAGTATCAAATAACTATGCACAGATTTCAGAAATAAACAAGTTTTAGTTCCATTGTCCACAAACTTGAATATATACCTATAGATCTATAGATAGATAGATATATAAATACGCAGACAGATACAGAGGAGTGAGCCTCATTGTGCTTAGGACTGTACAGTTGAGCTGGTGCTAGGCTTGAGTGCAGCTGAGCGATACTCTCTTCTAAGCTTGTGACTAAGACCCTTGGTAAGGCATTTACATTTGTTCATAACATCAAGCTTTCCCTCTTGGCCAGCCAAGATGCCAGCAAGG